GCCTCTGTTGCCTTCTTAAGAAATGCGTTGGGTCCATAAGGATCTGCAGCGCTTAGAGATCTTTACTCCAATTGCTCTCTCTCCTTCTCTCCCTTTTTCTCTCCGACTTGGGCGGAAACCTCCCAAGCTCTTTATACAGCTAGCAAGCCAATCACTAGCCGCCACGTGTGCATAATTTAAGATCGGCCAATAATGTGGCACGAATCTAAATACAAATGGCAGGAACTCCTTTGCACCGTGCATCACTATGATGCAAAAGAAATGCACCATGCAAAGAAGGCTACAAACGGCGGAAAATACTCTTGCACGCGGGTTCTCCTATTGCAGCAGAAAACTCCACCGTGCAAAGAAGCTGCAATTTGGCAGGAACATAATTTAGCAGTGCCGAAGCACACAAAAACAAAAAACCACAACTTTGGGTTGTGACACTCACCACTTCTCACCACCTCTTCCCACCCAGCCACCCGCCGGCCCCATGTGCCAGCCTGGGCACCAGCACTCCTGCTGCCCCTCTCTGGACATGGGCCCCTGGCCCCGCATTCCTACTGCCCCACCCTGGGTGTAGGCCCCTGTTGGCCCTGGCCCTGGGCACCGGCGCAGGCCCTGTACTCCTCCCTATCTCCGCTGCTTCAGCTGATGAACTTAGGCAATGGAGCATCCCACAGGAGCAGGGTGGATGTTTGCAGCGGCTGGGAGCAGGGGGGTTTGCAGTGTCCCCACTACATTCCTGGTCAGCTGTAAACCCCACCCCACTCCTGGCTGGCTGCAAAACGACCCCCCCCCTCCCGTGGGGTGCTCCACCACCCCACCAGTCTGTATTCAGCAGCCATGCCTGGCTTCTCCCCACCCCCCCATGCTCATGCCCACCTCCCACTCGCTGCCACTCACCGCATTTGCTGCCGCTGCCACCACCGCTGCTTCTCCCTGCCTTCCTGCCAAAACTCGCTGATTCCACTGAGCACTATAGCGAAACTCACGGAGCGCTCAGTGAAACCAGGCATCAATTTTAAATGAGCGTTATAGCGAAATAGCGCTAATCACAACCACTTTAAGTGGGGGCTGCCTGTATGGAAAAAGTAGTCCCAGGAAGGACAGAAAGGAAGGTCCCAGAGCAGGCAAGGAGAAAGTCCCAGCGAGGACAGAGAGAATTGGAATCGCTCAAGAAAGACTGTTTGTATTGAAGCAGTCTGCTGTACTATTTGGGGACATTGGCATTCTGATACTCCTTTCTGAAAGATGAAAACATCCCCCACTTTCCACAAGTTGACCAAAAAGAAAAGGTTTTTGGAGGAGGGAATGCTACAAGTCACCGGGGAAGTCAGGGACTGAGAAGAGCTAGGGTCTCAAAACCAGAGGCGTGCACTTTGAGAAGTTTAGCTGTGTGGTTAGTACATTTTGCAATTACCTCTTAACCCAAGTGTTATTCCATATCAGATATATATTCTTATGGTCTTAAAACTTTGTCTCATTTTTCAGACTGATTCTTGTTTCACAGAGCATTGTCTAATTATTCATATTCCTGCCTTTGCTTTCTATTGTAATTTCCAGCATTAGCCTAATTCTTATTTCACCTAAATCTTTAGCTTCATTAAAATCTGTATTATGTGCACAAATTATGATGTAAGCAAATAACATGAAGAGTCTTACTGAGCCTGTAAGCAGGGGTATATCCAGGGTGGGGTGGGGTGGTGCAGCCCTTCTGCCACTGCCAATATCTGCAGTGTAGCTTGGCACTCTGCACAGCCATTCCCTGCAGCTGGAGCCCTCAGGCTGGCAGGGGATACAGGGGACTGGGCAGAAAGTAGGCACAAGATGGTGGGATCCATCCACTGCTGCTGCTGTCCCTGGCTGACCCAGGCATGAGGTGAGCCCCAGAGTTACTCTTGCCTCACTCCTACCATAGAAAGTGACTTTGAAAGGTGTCAGGCTTGGCAATGGGTAGGTTTCCTCTTTCTGTGCCTGCTCTGCACTGCTCCCCCAACCCCATGTCCCCTGTTGACTGGGAGCAGGTGCTACTGGAGGAGGAACCTGTTTGCTGCTGCCATCCCTGTCCCCAGATGACGCAGGCAGGGGAGGAAGCCCCAGAGCCTCTCCTGCCTTGCTTCAGCTGAGTGCTGCAGGGACTGACTGCATGGGTTGCCAGACACAGCTGAGGATGGTGGCAGTACTTCTAGCACCTGTTCCTAGTCAGCAGGGGACATGGAGCAGGAGGGAGGCAGGTGCAGGAAAGAAGAACCTACCCATCACTGCTGTTGTCCCCAGCTGAAGCCAGCACCCTGGCCATCAGGTGAGAGGAACTTCCCCTGCTGCCAAGTCAGCAAGAGACAGTGGCAGCAGGGGGCAGGTTACCCCTTCCTGTGCCTTCTCCCAGCCCTGGTTCCTTGTGTCCCATGCTGTACAACTGCCCCTTGCCCCTATCCCCCAACCACTATCTGAGGGGCAGTGTGTCTCTCACCCCTCTGTTCTGAATTCTAGATCTGCCAGTGCCTGTAAGTATAAGACAAATAAGGAAAGAAAGAAAGAAGTACTTTATGTATCTAAAAATAAAAACAACATTTTAAAACCTTAAAATAAAAGACACGCTGCTATTATGTTTGACACTTTATTTCTTTTTTTTTTTAAGTTCTCTTTGACCATCAAGTGGAAAGTGGCTTTTTTCCACCCTACTTCAACCTTACCTATGTATGCCTCATCTAATACAGTCCACTTGACTTTGTCCCTTTAGTCTCACTTCCTGACCTATGCAGTTTCAGCAGTTAGTTCATATTTACATTTGTACAAAAAGGACTGGAGAATTGGTGCTTTATTGCATTTGAAGTACTGCTGGGAAATGTCAGATGGAACAGTTGTAGTTTCTAGAGAAGAAAAGGTTGTTTTAGAAGAGAATAGGAGGCCCTTCAGTGTACTGTTGCTTATGTACTCTGAGTAGCACTTCGGTGTCAGTGGGGGACCGCATTCTTAATTTCTTCTTTTATCAATTGTTGATTCAGAAGCATTAATCTGAGATTCAGCTTTTATAGTTTTATTCAGTTTAAAACTACATGCTTTCTGAGAGAGAGACTGAAGGATTGTTAAATTTGGAAAAGTAGAAGTGAAACAAAACTGTAAGAAACAGAAGACGACATGGGAAGGATGGTGAAAGTTAATGCCAGATTGTGTCAAGGATAAATGAAAGAATTCTATTTTAAAATATGAACCCATCAGTAAATGTTGATAATAATGTTAAAATGTTCAAAACTTAATTATTAGAAAATCCTGCATTTGCTGCATCAGTAGCCATCCTTTGGGCAAAAACATTGTTATTTTCTGTAATGGAGTTCAGTAAAAAAAGAAAAAAAAGTAGTGAGACGCACATAGCTAAATTATACTTTCCCCTCTGTGGTCTTACAAGACGAGAAAAGTCCAGAGAGTAGCATGTCCCTGAAGGGACGTGCAGGGTTGGTAGCGTTGGCAGCTTCTGAAAACGCATATGTGCATGGGGTTGACATGAGATGGTGATCGGACCTCTACATACCAGCAAAGATGACCAGCCAGTTTAAGTGTTGGCTGCAACTTGGCAAAGATGTAACATGGACAAATTCCTTGTGAACTTCTCTGTCTTGGCCTTATGACCCAGAAGGCATTGTGAATTGAGAACATACTATCCTCAGTTATTGCTGCTGAAAAGTATGCCTCCCTCTAAACCTGGAAAGCCTAACTGCAGCCATAGTTTGCTTGTACGTTGCCAGAATTCTTGAGCAGTCAGAAGGTGTTACCTTTGTTAAAGCAATTTAAACTTTAGCTTAGAGCCCCTATTTTTGTACAAAATAAAAAATTGCTTTCTATACATGTTAGGGATACACAAAGAAGAACCGAAAATATGATCACTAAGATAAGACTTCCTTGTAGGCAAGATAGAGATACCCTCTTTGTACGTTATTTTCAATCTCTGATTATTAAAATAAATTGTTTAAGCAAGGTTTTTTAGCATTATACTTAAGAGTAGAATTTGTGTTTTTAATATATTTTCTTTTTATAAAAGTATTTCTCTATGGATAAGGGTTTTTGGTTGTAGCTGTGTTGATTTAAGGACATAGACAGGCAATCTTCTTTGGGTAGGTTTGATATTGTTTATTAGACCAACAGAGTAGTTAGAAAAAAGTTCTTTGCAAGCTTTCGGGCACAAGCACCCTTCTTCAGGCATAGGGAGTCTCTGCTGTTTTGAGATTGTGCACGTGGTGCCCCCTGTGCCCCGCTCCCCCGACCCCAAGCAGCCCCTTGCAAGCTGGAACACTGCTAGCCTGCAAGGGGAAACCTGGATCCGTGCACAATGCTGTGAATCTGGAACAAATGCTGTCCTAGAGTCTTGCAGCCTGGGACTGGGACTTCAGGGTCCCATTCTAGGACTATCCTGTCCAATTAGGTATGGATGGTCACCCTAGGCTCTACACTGAGGGCCCTACCCATACCCTCATGGCCTCCAATCCACCCCTTTCAGCCATGTCTGTTCCGCTGGTATAAACAAAACCCAAAAACATGAGTGCCTACTCCAAAACAAAAGGCTCCCCTCCCAGGATTAATCTTGCCCTGCAGAAGCTCCATCCCCAACAGCCTGAGCACTTCACTGTTCCTGTTTGGGATTCAGGGTTTCTTTCAGCTTAGAGTCCTTCCTCTGGGCCACTTGTCCTGGCTGTCTCCTGGAGTTCTGCCTCCTGCAGCTCCTACAGCCCTTTACAGGCTCAGGCCCCGTGATTATACCTCTCTTTCTGGGTCACCTGACCCTCAACTTCTGCCCCCAGGCCTATCAGTCACTGCTTGCATCTGATATGGGTGGCCATTTTATTCTGGGGCTCTTTGCCTGCATTAGCATGGCCGGGGGTTGGGGAAGGCCAATTACCTCTGGGCTTCCTCTCCCCTTTAGTGTTACACATACATTCAAGTAATTCATAGAATCATAGAACTTAAGGACTGGAAAGGACCTTGAAAGACCTTAACCCCAGTGCTTTTTCCTGCCTAGAGCAGGGGGTCAGACTTGATCTACAAGGTCCCTTCCGACCCTAGAAATCTATGAAATAGATCATCAAGTCCAACCCCCTGCTCTGGTCAGGAATACTGCTGAGATCAAACAGTTCCAGCAAGGTGTCTGTCCAGTCTCCTCTTGAAGACTTCCAAGGTTGGGGACTGCACTACCTCCTTGGGAAGTCTGTTCCAGATTTTGGTCACCCTTACCGTTAAGAAGTTCTTCCTTACATCTAACCTGAAACCATCCTCTAACGGTTTATGACCATTGCTCCTTCTCTTCCCCTGGGGTGCCCTAGTGAACAGTTTTTCTCCCAGCTCCTGATATTCATCCCTTACATACTTATAGACGGCCACCAAGTCCCCGCTCAGTCTTCTCTTCCCCAGGCTGAACAGTCCCAGATCTTAGTCGTTCCTCATAGGATTTAATTGAACATCTTTGTGTTTAGCAACGCATGGGAAGGAGGAGACAAAATGAAATAATGGCCAGAATTCAAGCAGCTATTATACAGATTCCAAAGCCACCACCAAACCGTACCCTGAAAGCTATTGAAGCCCGAAAAATATTAAAAAAGAAAAAAGAAGCAGAGGTAAGTGTTAGCTTTATTATTTAGTACACTGAATTGTAACTGCCAAGCAACTTGGGATAGAAATCCACAGTGGGATATAATGTGCACACATAAAGTCACTGACTGATTGCAATAAAGTTACACTAGCAACAAACAGAACTAATGCAATGGTGAATCAGGCCAAATATCAAGGATTAATGTAGGACCTGGTTCTGCATTTTTAATTTAAGGAACAGTCCCACTGCCATCAGTGGAAGTTCTTTTTAAATAAAAAGTGTGTGGTCATGTACTAACTTAATCCTTATTTTAGGATGTAGTCTAATTGCACTAAATACAGAGAACATTTAATGAAATTTGAATCAAACCCTTAATTTTTCCCTGCAATTTGTGGTTGTTGTACTTGTACCTGGTACTGTATCCTATAAAAGCTTATCTTTTACTAGCCAATTGCCCATCAAGAATGACAGGGAGGGGAGTGGGGAGGATGGAGTCCTGTGCCCCCCTCCCCCCCATATGGACCCGCACCCTGCTTCCCTCCTGCTGCTTGTGACCTGGGCCCGCTCCCCTGCCTCCCTGCTGCAGCAGCAGGGGGAGGGGAAGAGAGTGGGCCTGGGCCCAATGCAGGGGAGCACCAGGCCCGAGGGTGGGGAGAAGCTGGGTCGCCATGGCAGGGGCAAGCAGCAGGCCTGGGCTGACTTGGCGGCAGCCAGAGGACGGGAGGTGCGGGCTCAGGGCTGATGCAGGGGAGGAGAGGGATGGAGGGGAAGTGGGCCCGAGCCTGAGGTGGGGAGGAAGCCCGCATCAGGCCAGCTGCTGCTGCTGCTGCTGCTGCTGCTGCATCAGGCCAGACCAGACCAGGCCAGGCCCACTGCTCCCCCACCCACCGCCATGGTGGGCCATCTTCTCCCCCTGCTCAGGCTCACTTCTTCCGCCTCCCCCTCCCCCAGCATCAGACCTGAGCCTCACCTCCCCACCCCCGCTCAGTCCCGTGTCCCTGCCATCATGGCGGCTCCCTGCTGCACTTCTACCTCCTCTCTGAATGCTTATTTGCACTATGATTGGCTGTTTCAGTCAGCCAGTCAGAGTGTGAATAAAGCATTATGGACAGACAGACACATTAAGGCTTTTATAATATTAGGATTATAGGAACTGTAGTAGGATTTAAAATTGACAATTGCCTTAAATCAAAACCAGGCAGAAGGCAGAGCAGGGTGGCACATTAGGGCATTTTCACATGTGTTTTGGGACACTGCACCAGGTGCCTTAATTAGTGAGCTGTGCTAATTAAAAACGCCCGTGTGTCATGTGTATCAGTGTCCTCTCACTGAAAAAATGGTGATGGGGCGCTTTGAACTAAAGCTCATTGAACATGTTTTATTTCAAAGTGCACCGTCACCATTTTTTCAGTGTAGGGACGCACAGGGACACTGATACATGTGACACAGAAGGTTGCCGGAGTGTGTCAATTTCCATGCTCTAGCAGGCTCAGTTAATCGAGTCTGCTCTGATGTGCCGACGCATTGGAGCAGGCTCCCTTCATGTCTGTAGGAGCCCTTAGAGACTAACTGGTTCAAAGAAGCATGAGTTTTTGGAGGCAACAGCCCTTGTCAGATGCTTCCTCTGCCTGACCTCAGACTAACACAGCTCTTCACCTCTGAAATCAAACCCATGAATGCTGGTATTTTTTTGCTGCACTCTTTAGTTCTAGTCTACTGTCACATTAAAGCCCCCTGTTGCACTGTGCTTCATGGTTAAGATCCTGGATCCTCACATCAACCTTCTGAGTTAAAGCATGACCCCAAACCAAACAGAAGTTCATTGTTGGTTTCATGGGAATCTAGCTGGGGCTGGGAGCCTGCAGCCAGGTTCCCACAGCAACAGTCACGGTTCTGTGCCATGGTTGCTGTTTTCAGAATGGGAGGGGGGGACAGGAAGCAGAGGGAGCTCATTCTTGGGGCTCCCCACCTGGTGCTGAAGGGTAGGGTGGGTGAATTGCCCCACCCCATGTTCATCCTCCAGCGGGACTGAAAAACCACCATACTGAACTTTCTCTGCTCCCTTTCTCCTCTCCCATTCTGGAAACAGCGGAGCTCAGGGAGCTCTGCAGACACAAGTTATGAAAAATGCTACATCTTGAAATGTCTTTATCTGATACCTCATGCAATGAGGGGTCAGATTTTTGCTCAGTCAGCCATTTTTTAAGCTGTTTCCAGCCGTGCACTTATGTTTGGTCACAGCTATAAACTGCTTTATGTGTGCAGACTGGGCGAAAATTATCACTTTTGTTCATACCCTTTATCTTCTGTTATCCCTGAGCTAGCTGGGGCATAATATGATTTCAGCATCATGTCATGACGTTAACATTTCTCTACATAATGTTTACGCTGTAAACACAATTTTATAATAGTTGTATCCATCTTTGCTTTTTAGGAAAGATAATAACATTGAAATATTCATGCTTGTTTTCTTCTTTAGGATATGCACAAAGAGATAAAGAAGTTTGAGAAGTTTATGAGGAAAGGGAGTCCTGCACCTAGCAGCAGCCAAGTCTCAGGCAGGTAATTCATAGACATTAGGGGCTGGAAGGGACCTTGCAAGACCATCGAGTCCTGCCTCCCTGCCATAGGCAGAAAGTCTGTTGGGATCAAATGACCCCTGCAAGATAAGCATCCAAACACCATTTGAATGAGTCCAGACTAGGTGCTTTCACCACCTCTATGGGGAGTCTGTTCCAGACCCTGGACACTCGGACCGTAAAGAAGTTTTTCCTTATGTCCAGTCTAGATAGGCCTTCCAGAAATTTGTGGTTGTTAGACCTTGTTATCCCTTGGAGAGCCCTGGTGAACAGCTGTTCTCCCAGATCCTGGTGTACCCCCCCTTAGGTACTTATAGGCTGCCATCAAGTCCCCACAAGCCTTCTCTTCTCCAGCCTGTCCTTGTAAGGCTTGCTGTCTTGGTCTTTGATCATACAGGTGACTCTCCTTTGGACACTCTTAAGCTTATCCATGTCCCTCCTGAAGTGAGGGGCCCAAAATTTGATTTACATCAATTGTGGGTCTGTTTTCTGCCCCCTGGATGCTTTGCGTCCTGACGGGGTGACCCCTTTGGACAGGTGGAAGACTGACACAAAGTAATTGTTTAGGAGACTCGCCTTTTCCTGAGTGTCAGCTGCCCCATTTGATTTAATAGGGGTTCAGTGTTGCGACTTCCCACATATCTGAAGAAGGACTTTTTGTTGTCACTGATTCCCGTTGCTAGCCTGAGTTCAGTATCTGCCTTGGCTTTTCTGGTCTGCTCTCTACAGGTGCGGTCTAGTGCTGTGTAGTTCTCCTTGTTGATGACTGCCATTTTCCACCTGGCATAGGCTTGTCTTTTTACCTTCAGGAAGCCCAAAAGTTCCCTACTGAGCCAAGGGGGCACCCCAGCCCACTGACTGCACTTCCTTCGGGATGGGATGGACTTTCCTTGTGCTTCAAGGATTACATTCTTAAGGAACAACCATTCCTCGTGGGCTCCCCTTTCTAAAGGCCCATGGTCTCTGAGTGCCTGGTTGACCAGTCTCCTGAGTTTTTGAAAGTTGGCCTTCCCAAAGTTGAGAATTTCTGTTTTACTGAGACACTTGCCCACCCAGCGTTGACCAGAAAAAAGTGATCAGTTCATGGTCATTGTCATCAAGCTTCCCCTTGACCCTCAGATCATTCACCAGATCATCCCCTTTAGCCAGAACCAGATCCAGCAGTGCCTTTCCCCTAGTTGGCCTGTAGACCTCTTGCATTAGGTAGAGGTCATCAATGCATGGGAGGAAGCTATGCGACCAGTCAGATTTGGCTGTGTGCTCTTCCCATAAGATGTTGGGGAGCTTGAAGTCCCCCATGACAACCAGAAATCTGGAGCTTGCAGCCTCAGCCAGTTCCCTATTGAATTCTCGGTCCAGCTCTTCCTCTTGTTTGGGAGGTTTCATAGATTTCATAGACATTTGGGCTGGAAGGGACCCTGGAGGATCAGAGTCCAGCCCCCTGCCCAGGGGCAGGAATTCAGCAGTGCTCATACGGCTCGGACAGTAAAGAAGTTCTTCCTTATGTCCAGCCTGAATCGGTCATGGCAGAGTTTGTGACCGTTCAATCTTGTCATCTCTTTCAGTGCTCTGGTGAACAGACGTTCCCCCAGATCCTGGTGAATACCCCTAATAAACTTATAGGTGGCCACCAGATCACCCCTGAGCCTGCGCTTTTCCAGGCTGAAGAGTCCCATGACTCTCAGCCTCTCGTCATAAGGTCTGTTTTCCTGACCTCTGATCATGTGCGTGGCTCTTCTCTGGACTCTCTCAAGCTTCTCCACATCCTTCTTGAATTGTGGAGCCCAAAACTGGACGCAGTACTCCAGCTGCAGCCTCACCAAGGCGGAGTACAATGGGAGAATGACGTCCTGGGATTTGCTTGAGAAGCATCTATGGATGCAAGCCAGTGTTTTGCTTGCTTTACTAGCCGCAGCATCACATTGAAGGCTCATGTTCATCTTGTGGTCAATCATGACCCCCAAGTCCCTTTCATCTGTAGTGCTAACCAGCATAGCACTGCCAAGCCTATAAGCATGCTTCAGGTTTTTCTTCCCAAGGTGGAGAACCTTGCATTTTTCGGTGTTAAACACCATCAGGTTCTCATCCGCCCATTTCATGAGCCTGTCAAGATCTGCCTGGATCACCCTCCTGTCCTCAGGTGTGGATGCTTTACCCCAGAGTTTGGTGTCGTCGTCGAACTTGGCCAACCCGCTTCTGACACCATGGCCTACATCATTGATGAAGATGTTAAAAAGTAAGGGCCCTAGGACAGAGCCCTGAAGGACCCCAATGGTCACAGGGCACCACGATGATTGACTTCCGTCAACCACAACCCACTGGGTCCTGCCGCGGAGCCAATTCCTAGCCAGTGGATCGTGGTGAGGTCGAGGCCACAGTTAGCCAGTTTTGTCAAGAGGTGATCATGGGATACCAGATCGAAGGCTTTTTTAATGTCAACATATATGACATCAATCTCTTCCCCCTTGTCCAAGTGATAGGTCACCTGGTCGTAAAAGGAAGTGAGATTGGTCAAGCAAGACCTACCAGCAACAAACCTGTGCTGGGTATCCCTCAGGATATTGCTGTCAGCTAGCCTGTATAGGTTTGTAATAGACTCTCACAGTTATGTCCCATTCCCCATGCTCCCCCCATATTTTAACCCAGAGTGTCTTGAGTTGACCTCCATGTTTGCTAAACTCAGTTTGAAGGGAAGTGTATTGCTTCCTCACATAGACAGCTATACCCGCACCCCTCTTCCCAACACAGTCTCTCCTGTACAAGGTATAGCCTTCTGTACCTACAGAGCAGTTGCAGGTGGAGTTCCACCAGATCCTTCCCCATGCTCCCCCCATATTTTAACCCAGAGTGTCTTGAGTTGACCTCCATGTTTGCTAAACTCAGTTTGAAGGGAAGTGTATTGCTTCCTCACATAGACAGCTATACCCGCACCCCTCTTCCCAACACAGTCTCTCCTGTACAAGGTATAGCCTTCTGTACCTACAGAGCAGTCGCAGGTGGAGTTCCACCAGATCCCCGTTATCTCTATGAGATCATAATCATTGTCATTCAGGAGTAGGGCCTGTTCCTCTTGCTTGTTCTCCAAACTCCTGGCATTTGTGTACAGGCAGCTGAGCCTGCTGTGGGAAGCCCTGGTCTTCCCTATGCAGTGGGGCATGACTTTTTCTTGGGCTGCGTTTGGAGTGGGTTCCCTTGGGCTACCTGGTCAGTTACTACTGTGACTGTTGTGACCTGGGCTAGAACTGTTAGTTGATACTTGATGTTTATACCAAGTTAACACTGATAAAACTGTAGTACTGTATTTACTTGAATATAAGACAAGGCCCTGCCCCCCATCAACATGAGGGAAAGAAGCCCCTTGTCTTAGAATCACACAGAAGAAAAGCACATTAAATACATTGTCTATCGTTGAACTGCTGCCACAAACAACATGTACTTTATAATAAAACCAACTATAAGAAGTTTGTGGCCGGGTGGGGGTGAATAAGAAAATCTCTCCCCCTGGGACTCACCTGCCACACTTTGGAATGATAGAAGAATAAAAAGTTAATTCCCCAAAGAGAGAGAGAGTGTAGTAAATCACCCCAGAAGCAGGATAAAAGAAAATTGGTTTATTAGTAAGTTCCCCACAGGTTGTGGAGCACCCTAGCTGTTTGCACAGCTTGTGGTCTCCCTTTTCTCTACCACTGTGCAGCCCACTCCCCCAAGTCAGTCAGCTCCACTCCAGTCCCACTCTCTTTTCTCTTTCCTGTGGTACCAGCAGATCCTTTCTCTGTGAGACCTTTTCTCAAACAGTAAGTTTCTCCTCTCTTCCTCACCTCCTTACTTCACTGGTCACTGTGGTTACCCACACCCAGGTGGCCAGTCTTATCTGCAAGCTGCTCCAGCGCTGGATCTGCCACTCCTGGCGTCCCTGCTGAATCTCTCCACGCTGTGCGCCAGGGGGCAAAGGAAAACCCCTTGCTGTGGACTTAAGTAGCTGCTGGCTCCTAATCAGTTAATAGGGGTGTAGGTTGTAGCCGTGTTGGTCTAAGGACATAGGCAGACAAGGTTCTTTGGGTGAATCTGATAGCTTTTATTAGACCAACTAAATGGTTGGAGAACAATTTTTAAGCAAGTTTTCGGGTTCAAAAACCCTTCATCAGGCTCAGGAAGTTTCAGCAGTTGGTGTGCGCTCTTTCTGGATGGAATGGAAAATAAAGAAGCCAGAGGCTGGGCTGGTATTCATACATCACCCTAAACACACCAAAAAAGCTGTACAGCCAAGCCCTCAGATACCACTGAATTTGCACTAAAGAGAACACCTGAGATTGCCACCTCACCAATCTTAAAAAGGCTTTCACCCAACAAGGACACTCCTCCAGAGAGAGAGAGAGAGAGA